GCCATCAACAATAGCACACATTCTAGGAAGCAGAATGTAAAATTTGCATAAAGCGAATTCAAAGACAATTCGAAGCTGAAAAGCTGGGAAGCTGAAGAAGCACTGCCTTAATGTATTTTAATTCTTCCCTTGTTTCCTTCTGCTGCAGTGCCAGCTGCCGGGTCTTTCCCAGTCACTCTGTCTTTGACCTAATGCCTAGTCTCCCCACCAGTCACTGGCAGCAACTTACAGGTCACCACACTGCTATCTCTAGGAACAAAGGCCATCGTGTGACATAAAAGCACACAGTAGCTGGTTTTTAATACATGAATACTTCCTTCTTGTGGTCATTTTTTTCTTTCATAAAAGAATCCTTCATAATATGCTAAATCTTCTTCCAGATGGCTAAGGGTTAAGGAGGTTTAGAATAGCAACAAAATCTTAAAACAGTACAAATACAATTATCTATGATTTAAAATAGTTAAGAAAGTTATAATTTCTATATAACTTTTTAAAATACTAATTTAGATACCGCTATCTTGTTCATTTTCAATTAATTGCCTACCCTCTACTTAAGATGTAAAATTATGGATGATACGGATCTCATTGAAAACTCATTACCATGTTTTACAAAGGTCCTACATTGATCTCATTACTGCCCCCCCCCCCAAACTCTCCCCTTTGTCCATTAGGCCAGCATTTCTCAAACTTTAATGGGTTTATTCTAAATCTCCCAGTCTAACAGTCACTCATGCTGATGCTGTTGGGTGAGGGACAGGCTTTTTGCACTTGCTCATCCCTCTGCAAACAATACTTTCCCTCAAATCTGTGCATCTATCTGACTTCTGCCCATTATCAGTTCGGATGTCACCACCTGAGCAGCTAAAGTAGCTGGCCACCCCAAACCCCTTTATTCTATTGCTCTACTGTTTTAGCTACCTTTGTAACACATATTATCTGAAATTATATTACTTTAACATATGTCCCCGTCTCCCATCCTTCCAACTTGAGCTAGGATGGAGGCTACTGAAGGGTATGGACATAAATATGCTTACTCTGAGATCTCCTCCAGAGCCTAGAAGAGCTGGGCACTTGGTAAACACTCAATAAAACACGTCAGTGAATGAATGGGATCTAGTCATCCTATTTTTACACGGATGCCCAGAAAGCTGAAGCACCACCCCGTCATGGTACTGCCCACCATACAAGGCTCAGCGAAGGTCAGATAACAGGAATGGTTAGACTGTCCTCTTTTTATTATCCGTTTAAAGAGATTTTAAGCATCACCAAGTCTCTTTTGTAATCATGAAACAGTACTTGCCTCTTCCCACGGGCACATTTCCAGTCTTCTGAGGACCTCCCTCGTGTGTAGCTCCAGGATGTCTAGGTTAGAAGGAGTTCGAACATTATGGTCTCTAAGTTTCCTCATCTTTCGTCGGGAATGGTACGGGGAAGTTGCTTCATTTGAGGATCGTGAAACTGGACACACAGTAGGAATTCCCTGAGATTTAACTGGTTTGCTGTTTTCCTCCTTTAGGAATTAAATTCAGAATATTTTTATGATAAGGCTACGAACATGCCTAAGTAATCAGTCATAAAAATATTTTCGAAAACAAAAACCATTCAGTTTAATTATATAAGCAGAGACCAACTCATAAGACAAGCAGACCTTCTGAGACCTTCATTTCCTTCTCTCCCCCACGTAACGTACTGTGAATATATCTCCTTGATTTTTAGCATCATTGTAAAGACTGTGTAGTACTCCGCTGTATAGATATAGCATAACTGACTGACCTAAGCTTACTGGTAGTTATTAGGCTGCTTCTAGTTCTTTCCTATGATGAACATTTTTTTACTTATATAGTTGCATAGATCAATAATTGCTTTTTAAAGCAAAGTCACACATTTGTGTAGTTTTGAAAATTAAAATTCTATAAGCATATTATGAAAAGTAGCAGTCTATTCTTCCCCATCCTGATTCCCATTCTCCAGAGGCAACCACTTGCAGCTTTTTAAAAAACTGTAGTAACATATACATAATTTTGTACCACATAAGCGGTAACCTATGTGTAATTTACCATTTTTATGTATAGAATTTGGTGGCATTAAGCACATTTCACATTGTTGTCCAACCATCACCATCTACCTCCAGAACTTAATTTTCCCAAACTTAAACTCTGTACCCATTAAACAATAGCTCCCTATTCCTCCTTACCCCCAGCCCCTGGCGACCACTTTTCAACTTTCTCTATGAATTTGATTACTCTATGAACCTCGTATAAGTGGAACTATACAATATTTGTCCCTGTATGACTATCTTATTTCATTTAACATAACGTCTTCAGGTTCATTCATGTTGTTGCCTGTATCAGAATTTCCTTCTTTTTAAGGCTGAATAATATTCCATTGTGTATAAATGGCACATTTTGTTTACCCGATCTTTGATGACAGACACTTGGGTTGCTTCCACCTTTTGAATGTGACTAATGCTATTAACATGCCTGTGCATATGTTTGAGTCCCTGCTTTCAGTTCTTTTGGTATATACCCAGCACCTGCGACTCTTGTAGCTATTTTTGTTGTTTTTTTCCCCCAGTTACTTGCCTCCGAATTTCTAAATAACATGTTATTTCTTGGTTTTTCAACTTTAGATACTACTGAATTCCTATGCAAGAAGAAGACTTAATCCTTACATACCTCTCCTAAATGTACACCTACATCCTTTTCCTTCAATACTCAGTATTTAAATTGGGCTCAGTAAAAATTATTTATAACCCAGTGCCATGTAACATACTATTACATTTCCTTTCCTTTATATCTTTTAATTTTTCCTTTGAGTTTATAATTGCATCACTTTCCATCAGCTTGTTTTCTATGTATTTATCACTAATTGAGTCTCAAATTCTCCACCAGAAGAATGCTAACATTTAAACACATTTAGGTAATCTATCGGATTTATATTTTTCTTTGGCAACATCCTTCCTGGATCGGCTTGCAGATAAAGTACAAGATGCTCAGTTAAGTTTGAATGTCTGATGACCAGCAGGACGGCTCTCCTGACCCACCCTGGCCTGACTGCTCTCTGGGCCTATACATGTCATCAGAGACCTTTCCCAACCTGCTCCCACTCCACCGCATAAAACTGCAACCCCCTCCACCATCTTTGGCCATCACTCCCTAGTCAGTTCCCTGTTAATTTTCTTCATAGCACTGTCAGTTCCTGATATATTAAAGTTGCTGATATATACTCATGGCTAGCCTCTTTCTATTAAGCTCTATGGGCACGGGCTTTGTTTTGTTGGCTGCTCTATGCCCATCCTAGATGGTACAGAGCATGCAGTAGGTACTCAGTATTTGTTAAAAGATGCATTCCAGGGCTCCCTCTTTTTTGGTTTACTCCCTTTTTGGAGTGGCACATCCTTTTAGTTTCCTGAGAAAGGGCACATGGGAAGTACGTGTTTTGAGATCTTGCCTCTTTGACATCTTTGTTTTACATTTGATTTATGACTTGGCTGAGTACAGGCTTGTATGCTGGCGTCCCCTGACCCGAGAATGTTAAAGACTTTGCTCCACTGTCCTCTAGTTTGCAGTGTTATTGTTGAGAAATTTGATATTCTGATTCCCCATTCTTTGTATATGAATCATACTATCTTCCCTAGTGCTCTTTAGGATACACTTTGCTACATGTATTCTAAAGTCTGACCATGATGAGCCTTGGCATAGATAGGTCTTTCTCCCCCACTGTACTGGACATTTTGTAGGGCTCTCAATCTGGGAAGACAGATATATCCTTGAATTCTAAAACATTTTGATTATTTCGCTAATAATCTTATTTTCTCTGTTATCTCTTTCTGGAGCTCCTACTATTTTGACGATGACTGTATAAAATGACCTTCTAATTTTTGTCCTGTTTTATTTTTAACTTTATGAGAGATCGCTCCAAATTTATTTTCTACCCATTCTACTAAATTTTGTTCTTATTATATTTCTAATTTCCAAGAAGCCCTCTCCTTTCTTCTTTGAATCCTTTGTTATGGCCTCCTGTCCTTTTTTCATGGAGGCTATATTTATTTACTCTTTTCTCTTAAGGATATCAATTATATTTGAGTTTTGGGTGAAAGACTTATTTATTGTTTCCTTTGAATACTTTTTCTCCTTTATTTTTGGTCTATGTCTTCAAAATTCTTCTGGGCTCTCTATGCATTTTATTCATTGCTTTGTTTTTTTTTTAATTACTTTTTTAGGCAGGCGAACCCTTGGTTGACCTCACAGATTGCAAGAACCTTGTTAGCTTACGATCCCTTATTTTTTACTTTTTATGCCTACAGCACCTGATCTTCCTAGGTGGTCTCCCATCCAAGTACTAACCAGGACCGACCCTGCTTAGCTTCTGAGATCAGATGGGATCAGGCTTGTTCAGGGGAGCATGGCCATGGACTCTATGCATTTTAAAAGGGAAGTATTAAAGAGCTATTTGGTGCTAAGAAAACTAGATACTCATAGGGGGGAAATGCCTTGACTTATCATATGCAATATACAAAAATTCAAGATTGGCCATTTACCTAAATGTAAAAGCTTTTAGGGGAAAAAAAGAAAGTATTTTCAAGACCTTGGGGTGCATAAAGAATTCCTGGCAAGGACACAGAATAACAGTAACTATAAAAGAAAAAGAACTGATAAACTGAACTTCAAAATTAAAAATTTCTGCTCATCGAAAGGTATCTTTAAGATAACTGACAAGATAATTTATATGTACACACATATATATGAATAGATGCTTGTTAAATGACAAAGAACTTGTGACCAGAAAATAGCATGAACTCCCTACAAATCAATAATAGAACAACGTAATTTTTTAAATGGTCAAAAACTTCAAAACAGGTACCTCAGAAAAGAATACAAATACCATGCACAAGAAAAGGTGCTCATTAATCTTCAGGAAAATGCAAGTTAACATCACAATGAAATAATATTTCATACTCTCCAGAATAGCAAGAATTAACAAGACTGAAAACACCAAATACTGGTGAGGATGTGGAATAATTACAACCATTTAAAAAAACTGGCAGCTTCTCACAAAGTTAAAATTCACTTGTCCTGTGATTCAACAACTCTATTTCCAGGTATTTATCCAAGAAAAATGAAAACATATATTTAACACAAAAGACATATAAGAATGTTTGTAACATTTTTATTCATAATGGCCAAATCTGCAAATAACCCAATATCCATTAACAGAAGAACAGAAAACAAATTGTGGTATATTCATTCAGTGGTATACCACTCAGCAAACAAACAAACAAACACACACAACATAGATGAAACTCCAAAGTATAATGTGAGTGAAAGAAGCCAGACACCAAAATAGTATATACTCAATGACTGCCTTTATCTGCACAGACAAAATTAATCTATGATGGTAGCAACAGAAGTCAAAACAGTGGTGACCTATAGTAGTCACAGACTGACTAGAAGGGAACAAGAAAGGACTTTCTGGGGTCATAAAAATTATTTACATCTCAATTGAGATATTGGTTAGACGGGTGTATACATTTGTCAAAACTCAAATTTCCTTACAATCTATACACTTCACTATATGTAAAAAGAAAAAAGCTAACTGGGAACTCTGTGTGAGTGGAGCTTTGTCAAATGGTGGGTTTCACTGTAGAGATCTGTCTTGGTCCAGCAGATCCAGTAGGGATCTACTGGAAGGTTTCAAACTGTCAGTATCAGTAGGTCTTCTTGGGAGGCACAGGCCAGACTGCCAGTTTTTGGGGAGTCAAGCGGGAGAAGAATCATTCACTATGTAGACTGTCACTTAATTCTCTTGTTTTCAGTGTGGAACCCATCTCCCTCAGTTGGACTCAGTGCCCCAAAGTCCACAGTCTCAAGTTCAACCTCTCAAATAATTAAACCTCTAATTTTCTGCATGTGTTAAGGCAGGGGGTTGGAGATCAACTCGTGTCTTAAATAGGCCTTCAATCAATCTTATTTTCAATCCCACCTCCACTCTCACATTCAGAGGGTCCCGTGTCCCTAACTCCTGAGCGTTTTGAAGGTTCTGTACAAATAAGACCTGCTCCTTGCCTTCCCCCACTGCCCACACAGGTTTCAGTTCTTAGGGCTGCTAAATCAGTGACCACTTGTACATTTCTTCTCCAAAATTTTGTTGGAATCTTCATCTCTATTATTCTCTTCGTTTTGGGAGATGTCTTCTTTTACTATCATTCTGGACCCAAGAGGTGATAGTGGTAAGTACATATGTTCAATCTATCAAGTTTTATTGGAACCCTCTTATTTACTTTATTAGAATAAAATGAAACTGCCAGATCAAGGGATGGAACATTCAGAAAGCATAAACTAATCTGTACTCCTATCATCAGGGCTAGAAGATAGAATTTTACTTTTGCCAATTTGATAAATGATCATATGAAATCATAAATTATTTGGCAAAATGTGCTTGAATAGTTTTTCACATATGGAGACTATTTCTGATATTTTTATTGGACTGGCCATTTTTATTTCTTCTTTAGTGAAATACCTGTATGTTTCTTTGCACATTTTTCTACTGGCCATCTTGCTGCCTTCTGTACTCTCTACCCTTCAATGAAAAAAAAAATACTATGTCGGCTATTTTTGTCCAATTATTCTTCCAAGGATATTTCACCATTTAAAATTTGTGACATTAATTTAGAGGTGACATATTTCAGAAATGACACTCCACTTACTCAACTATTGTTTTACTTCCCTTAGTAAAGATTTATAGTTTTTGCAAATAGACCCACACCTCTCTTGAGTTTACTCTTAGGTTTGGGTTGTTATATTTGAGATTTATATATTTATACATTTACATATATAAGATTATATATGTGACTTTTGATTAAAAATCTATACAACTACTATCACTCTTTAGAAAACAAAATATTTTTCTACTATATCTGGACATATTGAGAATTACATGAACTATTCTGTCTAAGAATATTAAACCCAACCTTTTAGTTTTCTTAGATGCATCCCTCTTTCCATTCTCGAAACACAGACCTAATCTAAACTGTCAACTTACAAGTTCACCTCCATTTCTCCACTTAGTTTCCTTTCAGTTCAGGCTAGACACTAATAGGACCACCTTCCTGAATTAAAACCTCCTTTCTTTAATAACTGGAAGAGCGCCTCGTTAATTAAAACATCTATTCTCAGATTTTGTGGACTTTTATCAAAGGGCATTTATCTAATCAAGTTGTTCTAATATTTCCAATCAAGTGGCCCTCCTTGCCCCACCCCACTGACATCACCCCTCCTTCCAACCCAGCTTCACCCAGCTCCACTCACTCACCTTACATTTCCTCTCTTTTTCTCACTACTCTACATGTTTTCCTCTTCAGATAGCTGAAATGAACTAGATCTGAACGTTTTGTTTATTCTGTATTTTTTATTTTTGGAGTAACCTGATAACTGCTTCCTTATTCAGTATAATACAGTATTTTCTCTCTAGGACTTCAGAAGCCTAAACACCTGAGACTGTTTCTCAGTCTTAGCTCATTCCATTTATTTTTAAGTGCATACGAGCTTTCAAGTTTATAGTACAGCGGTAGATTTGCTTCTGAAAGCAGACAGTGACCAAGCATTTAGATAACAGTTTCTACTCTTACCTCTATTGCTCGAATTACTTTAGAAAGTTCTTTAATGAGATGTCCAGGTCTAACATTGTCTGGAATTTCAAAGGCATGTTCAGATACAAGCTGTATTTGGATTAACAAAGACAAGACAACCAAAGTTATTTACACTTTAATATGTAAAAACCAATTTATTAAACCAATTTTTGGGTTCTCCAGAGTTTATGGACATAGCTAAATATTAATAAGGCAGGTCTCGGAGTTCCTATACTTGGTGTGACACCTTCTAAAAAGATTCTCATTACCTTACAGAATCTTCTTAGACTGAGTTAAAGAGAATTTTGCTTTATACAGAGTAGTAACCCCACACTCTTTACCTCAAAGCTTACTCTATGTCTAACTACTATTATAATTAGTAACTAATTAAGCCTAACATTTAATTCATAATACATAAGGATTTGAAAGAGGGAACATAGGCACTGAAATAATCCTAGTCCACTGGTACAAGTAATATGCTATGGAAGCACTTACTAATCCCAAAAAGGAATCTGGGATGACCTCTTAGGGGAGGTGGGACTCAAATGCAAACAACTAGACAATATTTTAGTGCAAATGGGAGGCCCCTGCTTGAACCTTGACCTCCTTTCTTTCATTTTTACAGAAGTCTAGCAGAGGGATAAGAGCATAGGTTTTGCAATCAGAGACCTAGATTTAAGTGCTAGCTCCACCAGTTATCTTAGGCAAGTGACTTAAGCTCTTTGAACTTCAGTAAATGGGAAGAACTATAGCACCCAGACTACACATTGTTGCTTTAAGGATTAAATGAGATTATGGATATAAAGACTAAACACAATAGTTAGCACACTATGAGAGCTCAGTTATTTATAATTATTTTACACCTACACATTCATTCTTAGTCAACACCCTAAATACACCTGAATTACTTTCTTTTCCAGCTTAAAGAAATACTGAGGTACTTTATCCTCATAAACATAAACATAAACCAGTACATTCGCATAGAGTGGATGATAAAATGCAGCTTATATTTAAAGCACAATTTCCATTCCCTCTACCACGGCTACTCACAAGTGTTGCCACAACAGCATAAGGACTCTGTTTTCCTGACCTTGCCATATAAAAGAATAGCAATTAATTCACTGAAGAAAACTCACTTCTTTTCTCATCCATAATTTTAAAGCAGTATGCAGTGCTTTCACGCCCTGTACTAGGTAAGTTTGAGGCTGGAAACCATCTTCTCTCAGTTCTGTGGGAAGGGAAGAGGAATAGGAAAAGGAGGTCAGTGTGTTGAAGAGAAAGGGATTAACTTTATATTTTCAGTAATCACCAAATAGCAAACTGCGTAACTTCCAAATTAATAGAAAGGAAAAAAGTGAAATAAGAAACAATCGACCGAAAAGGCAACAAAGAAAAAGAAAGAGAATTACATTAAGTGTCGTTATAATAAATGCTCCAGTTAAGAGAAAGCTCATACACATAATGCTGAGGAAAAGGCCACAAAAAAATGTCAGTATGAAGCTATTCTTATAAGAGGGACAAAATTAAACTATTTTAGTTGGTGACATAGGTGATAAAACAGAAGAAAAGGATTATCACGAAAGTCAAGATAGTGGTTCTCTCTAGAAGGGAAGGAGGAGGGTGTAATGAGAGCAATAACAGGCATGCCTAGAGACTGGCATGGCTGCTCCTGCTCACCTTGGGTGGAGGTGATCGGAGAGGCAGTCATAAGTCTCTAAACTAGAGGAGAGCGTATGTGTATGCATTGTGTGATCGACACAATTGACCATGGGCACGACGTATTTCACTATTGTAATGGTTAATACACACACACACACACACGCAAATGTCTCCTCTGGGTTTTTAAACCAAATTAATTATCTAAAACTCACATTAATATATTAGTTGTGGTCTATGACTCAGGTAAGTTGAAGCCAAAGTGAAAGATTTCACTTCTGCTCTGAGTGATTTACTTACATAAACCCCAACCAAATTGGTTCACCGTTTCATTATTACTGACACTAAATACAGTTAGAAGTTTCATACACCCACCCTTACTTAACCCATCTTATAAGCCTATAACAACAGTCTGACAGCTGGCAAATAACAGGCCACAG